CCAAGGCTACCACTGTAGGACTGAAAGAGGAAGGCATCGGTGAAAGTGCACTCATCTTCATGGCGAGCATCTTAATCTAATCAAAATTCTAAGAATTCTGTTCTTTTGTGTTTATTTTAAGTCATAACTTGATAACATGGTGCAGGAGCTATTAAAGCCACTTAAGAGCAGGTTACCTTGGTTCAAAGAAGTTCTTGAATGGGAAAGACCAGCGACTACTGTTACCGTGCTCACTGTATCTTTGATAATTACATTTAAGTAAGTTTTGTTTGTGCATTTTGTTTCCACCAAATATCCCAATTAGATATTCCAATACTCTTGTCGAGGATTCCCAAGATATTCCAATACTCTTGTCGAGGATTGTTGGGAGAGAGTCCCACATTGGCTATTTAAGGGGATGATTATGAGTTTATACGTAAGTAATACATCTCCATTGGTATAAGGCCTTTTGGGGAAACCAAAAGCAAAGCCATGAGAGCTTATGCTCAAAGTGAATAATATCATACCATTGTGGAGATCCGTGATTCCTAACATACTCGTATTCTTCAATTTTCTCTTAGGATCATGATCAAGGCTGGCAACTAACTTACATTCACGGATGTAGGGAGTGGTTTGGCAAGGCTGTGGCTGCCCTCCTGTTTTGGGTGGTCTTGGTGATGCTTCAAGCGAGGAAGAAAAAGATTCAGGAGAAGTGCGATGAGATTGTGGTCTGCACTGCCTCTGACCAGACTACGATGGAGAGCATAGTATCTGCCCAACAAAGTTTGCAAAATGTGCACGAGATTGTGCAGGCTGCAAACATTGCAGTGTTGAAGATTTGGTCCATTTTCATATCCAAAACCCGGAAGGTATATTCACATTTCTTAATTAAATTTTTATGTGTCCTGAAACTCATCTAGCATGAGATCTTATCTTTCTTAGGATAAAACTATTTGCTGAAAAATAGCTGGTAGAACTATAAAATTTCAGAATACCACTTCCAAAAAAACACAAGTTGTTGCTCTGAGTAGACTGATTATGTTAGGTTTGGCTAGTTTAGATTTATCATAATGCACAAGCTAATTTTAGAAAATAGTTCCTTTTAGCTGATTTTGTGTTGACTCATTTTGTTACAATAGCATCATGAGTCTATGGGAAACATGCCTTACTTTATCACAATGGCCCTTTGTAAAGGGCCATGCGGTCATGGGCAACATGCCTTACTTTGTCACCATAGCACTTTGTAAGAGTCATGCCTTACTTTGTCACACCTTGGACAAGTACGACTAGTACGGTGACACACTTCATCCACTTAGAACATTAGGTACTAGTCAAAAGTCACTCATAATAGTTGAATTAGTCAAAGTATGTGCATTGGAACCTTCATCAAACATCTTGTGCTAATTTCAAGTATCAACATACATGTCTTTGTATCATATACTGACAATTTTCTCTATTTAAAATCACACTTGGAAAGCGTTCATTTCCCATTGAAATAGAAAGTTGTACATTTTGGGTTGGTGTTGCAGCACGCGGACATGGTAATGGCGGTACTGAGTGGGGTGGCAATAACACTGGCAGTGGTTCCAACGAAGTACATAATAATGGGGGCAATATTATATGGCTTTTTGATGACCTCAAGAGTAGGGAAGAAAACTAAGGGTACCAACAGCGGTGGAGGAGACAGACGGCTGAAGGAGTGGTGGGACTCTATCCCCGTCATCCGCATCCGTGTCGTCGACAAGCTTCCCGAGAGCGGCGGCCCTTCCGACTAAGGGTAATCCTCCACTCACCCTTTTCCATGCTTTCCTAGTTTCTCCATTTCCCCCTTTTTCTTTATGTCTATTCTGATCCTTTGCCATTTGTGAATATAGACAAACTGAAGGCCCCTTATAGAACAACGTGACAGTGGGATTTTATTGGAAATATTTTGGGGGCTTTTGGTTTCTTGGTCGTGGTGGGTTTGGCCTGAAAATTCGGTGTGTTTCCCTCTCCCTCCTCTGTTTTAGGTTGGAAATAAAGTGCGTGAGCTATTGATACGCATTATGAAATAAAATCATAAAATTTTAGATTGTGAACATATGTCATCCCTTTTCATATTCTCATTGAGATCGTTCTTAAAATGGTTTCAGAACTTCTCATTTAAAATGGTTTCAGAGCTTGTCATTTTCTCTGGTTAAGAATGAGATCGTTCTTAACTTTTCATTTTTAGCCTATCTTTTCCTTCTTTATACATTTTTAGCCTATCTTCTCTTCCTTGTTATAGGTATCAAGGGAAAAGGTTATGGTTTTGGTTGGTTTATAAAATTAAATATATGAAGTTTTTATGTTATTTTTTGTGTAAATTTTTTTGTAATTTTTTAAATAAAGAAATGGAATTAGAAATAATAAATTTGATTTTGTTGATTTTAAAATTTCTATTCAACTTAGAAAAAATAAATTAAATTATTTGGAGTATGTCCTACATATACATATGTATTCTTATTTTTAAAATTTGGATTTGGCGTATTTTTATAATTGGAAACTAGGAATCCAATTCTACTTTTGATTATATCTTTGTTTCCAAATCTATGTTGTTTGTATCATCATGCTTGTTTGGATCATCGTGCAACGTGGAGTATTTAAAATATGGATCAATGTTACCTTCGCTTCATTTTCAGTGGATTCTTGTCGTTAAAATGTTAAAGCTTTTCTTTGACTAGTTTTAAAACACTAATGTTGATACAGACAAATGTTCGATATTGACCTATCTATTGCTATATAGGTTACATTTTCTTTTTCATTTGTAGTGTATTCTTGCGAGGTCGAACCTTTATAATCATAAAGCTTTCGCATTAGTAGGGATAGAACTTAGGCTATTTTTGTAATTGATAATTTAATCTTTTTTAACGATAGATATGGTTATTTTATTTGTAATTGAACCTCAAAATTATTTATACGATGGATGATGTACCAATATGGTTGATAGAACAATGTATGAGTATTAATCTTAAACGGTTCTAGGTTGGGTGTATGCTTATTTTGGTAACATTACAATTTTTTTTTATCCGAAGATATATAAGTGATGATGTTATATGCAACAAGTGAGGATATGATATTCAAAAGGTATAGCATTGGATGATGAAACATTTAATTTCTTTTATGAACTTATTAATTAATAAAATTAATATTTTACATGACGTATCGTATGTAACTTGATTTTAATATTTATTGAGTAATGAACTTCTGCTTAACCATATATCTACTATGTTAGGGAATTTAGTATGAACGATAATGTAATCTTATCAAACAAAATTCACACATATTGGATAAATAGATGAATGGTCTCTTAAAATACGGATTTTAGGAGTCCAACAATGGAATCTACCATCTCTTTGGCCCGAGAGACTATTCATCATTGGATTATAAACAAATTGTATATTGGTTAATTAGTGATATTGGAAGTGTAACATACTATTACAAGGGTAAAAATACTTTTGACTTAATTGTAATTATAAATAACTTATAAATGATCGACTTGTCTGTAATAATTATATCAATGTAACTGATTTCTCATGTATAGGTCTAAAATTGAGTGAGATATATAATTAATGATTAAAAATTAATGGATTAAAATTAAAATATTGAACCAAATATTTAATATATTAAATATAATTAAGAAGGATATATTTAGCGGAGAGAAAATATATTATCGTATTTATTATCTTAAATGTTAAAATAATTAAGATATATTACACATTAAAAAAGATAATTTAAATTAAATTGAGTTTATAAATTACGATTTTTAAATATGATTTGAAGAAACCAATTCTATCTTAATATATTTAATATTAAAATATATTATTTCAAATTTAGAAAAAGTATTTTAAAATACAACAATAGGATAATTGAACCATATAAATTAAATCATACATATCTATTTTATAAGTCTTTTTTTATATGCAAGTTTACTTAACTATATATTTTAGTTTAATTCTAAATAAATTGAAATATGTTCGAAGCTTCCACGGTGAGCTCGGTTTCCCTTTCGACCAAACCAATATTTTTTAAAATTTAAAACTTTTTGACTTTATACGAAATATATTATTTAATTTCGGCCAACAACATCTAAAATTTGCTCACTCCTTAAACGTGTTTTTTTTAGTGTTTTATGATTTTTTTCACCGTACTAAATATCATATTTTATTTCATAAGCATCATTTTTTTATTCACGATCTAAATTGTACCAGTAAGCAGGAGTTTTACGGGACTTAAATGGCACTTTCGTCATTTGATTTGAGTCCCACCTGTCGCGGCACATCACGAGAGGATTTGCAGCATGCCAAGTCCCGGTTAGATTCTTTACTTTACATCGAATTAAACCACATACTCCATCGCTTGTGCGAGTACCCGTCAATTCCCTTGAACTTCATTCTTCCAAACGCACTCTCCAAACACATTACTTAACACGAAATTAAAAAAGCTAGTTAGCATACTTTTATGATCTACCTATCGATGTATCATTTGGATTGATAGAAGCCGTCACAAGCTGTATTTTTTTTTTGTCATAATTTTTGTTTATTTTACAAAAAAAAAACAAAAAAACAAAAAATAAACGTCAATGATAATTTTGGATCGAATGCTTATCCAATATTATCAAATATTGTCATCGTTTTAAAATGCGTTTGGAGCTGTTTTCACAATCTTATAAAAATGAGTGTTTCGTTTCCCTCTCCACCTAAGATAGAATGTCACTGTTATTGTGATTAAGTTAAAAATGAAAATACAAATTATTAGTATATGTAATAATTATCGATTATTTTAGCGTTTTTAGTATATTTTCGAGCATAATTCAACTAATTAAAATATATATTTTAAATAAAAAAACACATTAATAAAAATAAAAGAAAGGTATTTATTATAATTTTACACATTTCGTATTATATTATATTAATCTCCTCTTAGGTCGAGGTCACGTGCGGTTTCGTCTCCATGTCACGTGACTTGTCCTTCTTCTTTTCTTGCACTTAAATCTTTCATTTCTTCTCTCTCTCCCTTTTCTAACAGTGAAGTATATGCGACGCCGAGACGTTCTTCTCTGCAACTCTTCTCCGGAACCCTAACCGTCGATACCTCAACGGGGATCGCTCTCACGTCCGGCGAGGCGTATCTGAGCTACAAGATGGATGTTGATCAGTCTGATTCACAGAAGGCTCAGACCTTACAATCCCTAACCAGTGGTTCTCTCGGTTCGTCTCTGTCCAAGCTCGCCGGCTCTTCCCGGGGTATTCCGGCCGACAAAGACTTTCACTTTTATTACAGCTTCGACGAATTCAAAATCCCGATACAGAGCATCGAGCGGCAATCTCAGTCGATGCTCGAGACCATTGGCTCGTCCGCCGAAGTTTGGGGCAAGGAAATGGCGTTCCCTGAGGATACCGACGACGCGTATGATTGGTTAGTTAATGTTAATGATGAAATTTTTGAGCGGTTTGATATGTCTCTGGATGAGTTTCAGAGGATTCGGAAGGAGGAGGAGGAGAGTGGGAGGGCTGTGGCTTTAATGGCGGACTCTAACGATGGGTTTCAGTTGGTGTGTGGGAAGAAGAAGAAAACTCCGAGTCATGGAGACGAGGTGCATGATTCGAGTTTTGAGTCGAGTGTGAAGGTTGCTACCAAGGATAGGAAAACTTTGGGGGTGAAGCCGAAAGTGCCATTTCATATACCGACTATCCGTAGACCGCAGGATGAGTTTAATATTTTGGTTAATAATTCAAATCAGCCGTTTGAGCATGTCTGGTTGGAAAGGAGTGAAGATGGCTCGCGGTTTGCACATCCACTGGTTAGTTGAACTCCTTTTGCCTTGTATTGATCTTAACGTGTTACCTTTTACTTTTCTTTTCTTTGCCTACTAGGGTCTGGGGAGGGCATGCTTTGCATAATTTAAGTTCTATAGGTGCTCGGCATTATTTTGGCTGGTTGTGTCTAAATTCTAATGGCCAGTAAAAAAGGGTTTGACTTATATTTTGTAAAGATGTTCTGTAGTTTAGATGGGTTAGTGATTGAAATTCAATGGGATTGTCAACTTTATAGCGTGTTTTCATCTTTCATGAGTGGTTACTGTTTTATCGAAGTTGAGAGTTGTTGCTTACGTCAATTTACTTGTTTGTGCAGGAGAAGCTCCCTGTATTGGACTTTGTCGATAAGATTAATGCAGATTTTCAACCTGTTTATCCACCATCTTTGGATTGTACTCCCTTCAAATTCATAGAGGAAGTCAATGATTTGAAAGAACTGGCTGCTAAATTGCAAGGAGTTAATGAATTTGCGGTACAAAACTATTACTAGTAAAATGTTATGATGTCATAAGGAGGAAGCATGTGTTAGCTGAAGGAATTATTTTGTATGGACTGTATTTAGATCGTGTTCTAAATTCGTCTGGCATTCAAAATGCTTACTTCTCATGTTTTTGTGTTTGCATTATTAGTTTGAGAAGGGGGAAAAAAAAAATCATTAAAAAGCATAAATATGAATTCAAGATCTGTTGCAATGATATCAAGTAAATCAGAGAATGACGCTAATTTGCAAAGAAACGTAGTACACTTCTAGAGTATGTCATGGTATGAATTTAAGACAAAAATCTAACATTCAGTTTTGATGTGCCTTCTATATTTAATTTTCTTTGTAATTTGAGTTCTGTGTTCTGTTATTTGATGCACACTGTGAATCTTGTAGGTTGATTTGGAACATAACCAGTATCGATCTTTTCAAGGACTTACATGCCTGATGCAAATTTCTACAAGAACTGAGGATTTTGTTGTAGATACGCTGAAGCTCAGAATTCATGTGGGGCCCTACCTGAGAGAGGTTTTCAAGGATCCTTCAAAGAAAAAGGTTGACGTTGGGAAATAAGTGTTTGTTGTTTGCATTTAGTTTGTGTGGGATTTTTATTATAATATTTATACTCATTTAGGTGCTGCATGGAGCAGATCGAGACATTGTGTGGCTTCAACGGGATTTCGGGATTTATATTTGCAACTTGTTTGACACTGGGCAGGTTGTGTTTTTAACCATTATGTAGGATTCATTCAAGCCTTTGTTTTGTTCTTTTTATGGTTATTCCTTGTGCCAGATTCTCTCTTGTGTCTACATTAGGATGATGTTCTGCAGGTTATAATCCCATTCCTAGGTTCTTGCATGATCTTATCCCCTCAGCTGTATATGGTCATGCCCAAGCCAATTATGCTAGTAAATAAGAAGGGGAATTTATCCTTTGTTCCCATTTAATTGAGATCCCAACCTGTATTTCAGTGGACTTGGGATGACTTATTCTTCCTTTCTCCACACTTGTACTTCAGTTCTCATATTTGTCCCCCCCACCCTTCTTTGACTTCACAAATTAGACAACTTCTGGCTATCGTGTAAATTTTTTCAATTAATCAAGGTTTTCCATTGATTATATGAACTAGAATATCTTGAACTTCTGATTGTTAAAAAATTCATCACCTTCAACAATCATTCTTTCAAACTAGATTTCTTTGCTTGAGTGTATCCTTGGTCAATGTTCCAAGATATGGATTTTACATGTTTTCCCTGCCTTTCAAGCCATCTAATGAGGCTCCACTTCTGGTATTGGCTAGTGGCCCTTGGGTTTTGTTTCATGAAATAAGTATTTGATTTCTGATTAGTATCTTTTCAAGGAGTGTCTGGCTTTAGACTTCTTTTGAGGATGCATGATCTTCTTTCTCTTTATGTCAACTTGGAGAGAATGAATAACTTTCTACATGTTGATTCATACATTTTTTATCCTCAGGCTTCAAGAGTATTGAAACTGGAAAGAAATAGTCTGGAGTATCTCCTTCATCACTTTTGTGGTGTTGCAGCTAATAAAGAGTAGGGACTTCCTCTCTCTGCATCTGGATGCTGTGTGTGTGTGGATGGTTCTTTTTCTTTTTGCTCTTAACAGTTAAACTCATCACAGGTACCAGAATGCAGATTGGAGATTAAGACCTCTCCCTGAGGAGATGCTGAGGTATAAATGTCTATGGTTCGTTCTTGTCGAGTATTTTTTTCCCCTAGTAGTTGCACACTTGTTTATTTAGTTTTATCTTTGAAGATGCACATGCAAATTAGTGTAATGGATTATTTTCTGTCCCTAGTAGTCTTTGCGGACACACGTTCGACAAATTTTCCCATATTGTCTTATTGCAAAAGTGAATAATGAGACTAGATGAATGTTATACAATTTTTAAGCTCATGTTCTATAGTTAGATATCTTAACAAGGAAAAAATAGGACACCAGTATGTGATGATATTTACGTTTAAAGATCAGTGCAATTTTTCTCAATGGAAAGCTTTGTAAGTATATTTGGTGTAACTAGTGCTCTTTCCCTGTAAACGTCCAACAAGTCTTGCGTTGTTCATTATGTGTGAACAAATTACCCAAATGAAAATGTCCATGCTTTGAATGTGTGGCATTGCTTGAAGTTCTCTTTGATTGTTCATTATTTTGGTGTATCCTTATTAACTTTAATTTTGTATCTTTTAATCACAGATATGCGAGGGAAGATACACATTATTTGCTGTATATTTATGATTTGATGAGGATGAAACTGTCCTCAATGCCCCGTGAATCTGAAGAATCTGATTTTCCTCTGGTAGAGGTATAGTTGCTATCAACATCGTATGCAACTTTTTCTGGATTAAGATTATATTCATTCTTTCATCTTGTCAATGATCAAAAGTTTGACTTTGCTAGAAGTATGGAAATAGCAATTGCAGGGTGTCCACCATCATCATCTTCAGCTTTAATAAAATTTTAGTTTAAGATTTATTCTGCCCAATAAGATTTGATCTATAACACACTGGGATCTGTTTTGTTTTACTCTCACCTATTTGACTTGAGGGGGGCCTATGTTGTTTGTATAGATATTGGTTTGCGGCGTGTAAGATTTCAGTTCAATTAAGTTGCACTTCATATTTTCTTTTTGAAACACAAATATGGAAGAAAACCAACTCTAGAGGCTTACAAAATCAGGCCCCCCATTGAAGTTAATTACAATCCAGGGTATATGACTTAGAAATACTAATCCTAACCTTCTCAGTGCCACTTCCAAGATAGGGCCGTTCACATGAAGGAATTGAAAAAAGACTAAGTTTTGGTATTTTGTAAAAAGTTCTTCAACATCTCTCCAACCAAATTCTCATACAAAAGATTCTACTCCTGGGCCTTAAGCATAGCAGTTTCATGTTGCTTCTTATCGAGTCATGGAAAGTTCAGTGTGCCATTGAAGATATTTAGGAAAGCATTCTGGCAATTTAGACTGAATGTCTGAAAGAAGAGGTGCAACTGATTTTCTTCCATTTCCTTACAAATTACACAAATTCCAATAGAGCAGCCAATTTGAGTTTCACTTAATGTTGAAGGTCATACCATACATTTAGGGTGATAAAGATGTGGATTTTGTTAGTGAAGTTAATGTTATAGTATTGGCTGATTGCAATGTAGCTTAGGAATGCCTCAATGATGCTAACGAAGAGGAAGTTTTTCTGGCTGTCCACAATGCTGGCCTGGGCGTTTCCTCTTGTTGGATGATTTTTTGCGCAGTTTTGTATTCTTTCATTCTATCTCAATAAAAGCAGGCTTTCTGATTAAAAAAATATACATAAAGTCCTGAAAATTTCACAGCTAAGCTTGTTTTCAGAAGGGTTGGGACATTTTTTGAATGTGACATTGCAGATATGTTCAAAAGAGTACTGTTAATGTCACTGTTGACAAGTTCTATATTATTTCGGTTCCTAAAAGTTTGGTAGCCTGTTGACGATGGACTTCAGACCAATAGTCATACTACTTGAAACTTGTCTGTAAAAAATTTGTGATGCCTTGCACCATTTTGCATTCCAAACCGCTTTTTAACAAGGATTTGATTCTCAGTGAGCAAACTATGACCTATGACTATAGCCCACGTAGTTGATGATGAGATGACAACTATGGGATGGTATTGAGTTCTTTTTTCTTTATAAAAAAAACTTGGCCTAACCTCTGATTATTTTTTTGTAACTATTTTAGTTCTTCAATCTTAGCCAGTTAGGATGCCTTTACATAATCCTCTGAATTGGGCTTTGCCCGTTTGGTTTATTTCATACATACAATGAAATACTTTGTTTTCTCGTCAAAGAACTTTCTGGGAGTTGCTCCTACTATTCAAGACCTTTTATGTCTTTAATTGCTTTCAATTTAGAGGGCGCTTCTAATTGCATCTTTGCCTGAAAATTTAATTCTTTTTTTTACACATTATCTTCATGGATCTAATAGTTGAGATGCAAAGTTTAGATCTGGTGTTACATTTAATAGTTTTTGGGAGATAGGGAATGTAATCTTTAGTGTGGTTCAATATCAGGAGATCACCTTTAATTCTCTGCTCTACGGTGGCAAGGGTTCTGTTTGTCTGCTTTGTAGCATGAATTTACCTTTTTGATGAAGCTACTCCTTTTTTCTTTTGTAGGTTTACAAGCGGAGTTGTGATGTATGCCTGCATCTTTACGAGAAGGAGCTGTTGACTGAAAACTCATATCTTTATGTGTACGGGTTAGTTTTCTTCTTTCTTGGGTAAAAAGGACATTTCCATTTGTAGCGCTGTACTTTTCCTCCTTGTGGTGAAATCTCTCCTTTTCTTTTCTCCCTGCATTTGTTGGAAATTTTTAGTATTTGTGAATAATTTCCTAATTTCTATTCATTTTAATATAGATTGCAGGGTTCTGGTTTCAATGCACAACAACTTGCTGTTGCTGCAGTAAGCTTTCTTACACACTACATTTTATCGATATGATATATGCATCAGGATGGTAACAGGTCTGGAGACCTCTTACAAATATCTTATTTATTTTATACAAAAAGGGGGTTGAGCAGTCCACCCAATTTGCTAATGAAGAAATTACAAATAAGTAAATAAATAAATCAGCAGAAAGAATGGATGAATTACTACTCCAAGCCCGTCCTTCACATTCAGTGCCTGACAACTTTCCTTTACTTCAGATTCCATCTCTAGTTCGCCTAATTTCTGCAGTCTTGGTAGAATCTGCCCTCTGATAAAACCTAAAGAGATTTTAGACTTGTGGTCCCTTTCCACTTAACCCTTGAAGAAAAAAGAGAAAAAGATTAGAGCCATTGCCCGTGTTCTTAGAAATGAAATAAATTAGCTATAACTTTGATATCTTGAAAAAGTTAACTAGTAAGAGGCTGGATCACATGTCATGCTTAATATATGTTGCTGAAAGTAAGTAGCCTCACTCTCTGTTCTATAAACATTTATTGACAATGACAGGGTCTCTTTGAGTGGCGAGATGCTGTTGCCCGTGAAGAGGATGAAAGTACCGGTTACATATTGCCAAACAAAACGCTTCTTGACATTGGTAATTGGGAAACCTATGCTAGCATTTTTTAGCTTCTCCTTTTATTTTATTTTATTTGCTTATTTCTGAATTTTAACATCTTTTCTTATTGTTAAAGCCAAGCAGATGCCTGTCACAATTAACAAATTACGTAGACTACTGAAATCAAAGCACCCATTTCTTGAGCGCAATCTTGCTTCAATTGTTACCATCATTAGGCATTCGATGCTGAATTCTTGTGCATTCGAAGAGGCTGCTGAGCGTTTGAAGGAAGCCTGTGCAGAGGCGGTAAGGCTTTGTGCTTATATCCTGTATGCTATTGTTGCTTAACTAACCGTAACACCACCGGAAACCACAATTAATCTCATGGACTCGAGATCATTTTTGCTAGGTTTTTTATTGGCTGCCTTCCATTGAATTCATGGTGATCAGAGATATAATTAGGGCCTGTGTTATTTAATTTCTTAAAATTGTTTAAACGAGATAAGTGAAATGCGTTTATTCTTGGAGTCACCGGCATTCTTCTTTCTAGAATAGATAGGGAGGAATGTTGTGGATTCTGAGTCTATAATTAAAATTTAAAAGAATTTAGCTGATTAGTTTAAGTAATAACGGGCGAAAATGGAAGTCTTCATGTGTCTTGTAATTTTTGTTCTAAACTTCCTTTCCGTGAAAAAACCAATGGCTTCTGGTTAACGCTGACGGAGATTCGGTACGGAATGTGTAATGGTATATTATTTTCTAGTACCTGTGATCTATTCTCATGAAGCAACCACATTTTGGTTATACGGTTCGGGTTAGTATAATGGATGTGAGAAATTGGAAACCCTGATAAAGTTAGACAGCTTTTTCTTTGTTTTGCTTTTTAAATTGCATATGATTTTTTCTTCTCCTTTCCTGAGAGTGATTTTTAAAATTCTGTTTTCTTTAATCTTTCACTTGTTGTTTACATGACAGGCATCAGAAGAACAGGCATCCACTAGTGAACATCAAGATACGAATATATCAGATATTTCAAATTTGAGACACGTAATCCCGATTACGAAGGTCAATGCTGCGGAAAATACTGCCAATGGTCCAATCTTTTCTCCTTCTTCCCAGTCAAAAGTTGCTCCCTTGGAACATGGATACCGGCCCTTTGTACCTGGAAAAATTTTAAAGGTAGACCATTCTCTGCATCCTGTTTTGAATGGGAGTAGACAGGTTTCTCAAGTCGGTCCAACAACTTCGGAGCCGAGCAAACACTCGAATGGAGATAAATATCCAGTGGCACAGGTGGTGAAATATCTCTAATTGGAACATCCTCTTGTGTCTGTTTTGTTCCTTTGCCTTGAGATGTATGTTCTAAATGATTTCCTGTTTAGGTTACTGGACTGAACATTTCATTGCAAAGGAAGGGTAACCGAGGTGGTCTCGGGTCACTATTGGGAACCTCAGCCCCAAAGAGAAAATTAGATACCGATAAAAAGGTGGGTCCCTTTGGTTTAACGTGTACTGTTTCTTTTACTTCTTCCCTTGTTGCTGTCTCATTCGTATTGCTTATTTTTGTTAGGATAATGAAGAGAACAAGTTGGATAAAATTCGATCCTCTGTTTGTCTACCCTTTCATTCATTCTCGGGAACGAGTGAACAGTCGAAGTCAGTTACAGAACCAACGACCATGACTCTACTAAAAACTCAAAATTCGGAAGCACCTGCTGCTGAGTCGACAAAAAGTTCGAATATTGAGCCTCCTGTGATGCCAGTTCCAAAACCCTGCCCAGAAGAGGTTATATTGTTAGAAGATGATTCAGATGAGGAGTTCGAAGATGAAGAACCACATCCTGTTGCAGAAAACACCGATGAGCCGAAGTTGAAAGGTTTTAGTGCTAATTCGCCTCTTGAAATCGATGGCGACGGAAATGATGATGAAGATGAACCAATGTCCCTGTCTGAATTGTCTTCTAGCTTTCAGAAATGTTTGAATTCAAATGAACAAGCTATGAACCTTGGAAAAACTGATAATCCAGGAAAACAAAGTGCCTTTTTGCAGATCAAACCGTTCGACTATGATGCAGCTAGGAAACAAGTAGTATTCGGAGAAGGTATGGCAGAAAACTCGGAACCAGAAGACGACAAAGCTGTAAAGCCATCAAAGAATGCTGCTGGGGCCAACAAAGTTGTGAAGCCATCAAAGAATGCTGCTGGGGCCAAGTTAGATTTAGGTCTAGATAAAGTCGAAAAGAACAGTGGCGCCGCCGTGGAATTACCGCAAGGAAAACGACGCCATGCCTTCCCTGCAACTGGAAACCGAAGTGCAACTTTCCGCTAAATCAATGTAAGTGTTTTTTGGTCTGTAAAATACAGACGTTGCTAGTATGATGATGATGGTATTACTGGTCATATTATGTCAAAAGTATTAAAAAGGAAGAAGAAGAAATGAAGTGTTGGCAAGTTGTATTGAGAAGGAACGGTCTTTTGCTTGTTTTCAGTATGGTTGGGGAAATAGGGTTCTAAACTAGAATATGCATAGCTCTCCTGAATCACACGTACCTTATCAAATTGAAATTATACTGATATCATTAGTATAAAGGATTGTAGGGGCGTTAACGAAGTTCGTTGTCGCGAAAAATTCAATTAGATCAATCCGGGTTGGGTTATTAACTTATTTGGGTCAAGTTGGTTTTAAATAAATGAATATTTTTATAAGTTGTTAGACGAACACGATTTTCCATAATGATATGATATTAAGCTCTCGTAGCTTTGTTTTGAGCTTTTCAATAAGATCTCGTATCAACAGAGATAGTATTCCTTGAGTATCTTATCATCCAATGGCATGGATTCCCTAAAATTGACGTGGAATCTAGTTCAATTTATTTTGTAATTTAAAAAATACATTTTTGTTGACCATACAATTTTAATTATAAATAATTTTGAATTATTTGGAAGGTTTTTCAAAATATTTATTTAATTAAAGGTTGAAAATAGATAAATAAATATTTTGTTTTTATTAAAAATAAAAACTTAGAACAAATAATCAAATTGACCCAAAAAGTTTATATAAAAAAAAATTGATGCCATATTAATCAATAGTTTTTAAATGTAGAGGAAACAATAATAATAATTTTGACGTCATAAACTTATTATTTGAATTTTCAATTTCATTAAATCATATTAAAACTGCAATATCTTTAAATGTTGGGATTTTTACTTTTTAATAAGTTTTTTAAAGATTAATTATAAAACATGTATATGTTACAAAATTGATAAGATTTTAGATAAAGATAGTATTTAGAGCTAGATTTTTATTATTTTTTGATAAAATTATTCAATAATTAATTAGTGCAATTAATGCAAGACTTTTAATTTTATTTTTTAAAACTAAAATTAGAGTTAATTATTAAAAATTGAATTATCACATTTAAATTTGATGAGATTAATTTTTAATTTTTAATTTTTAATTTTTATTTTTAGTGAAAATCAATACAACGTGCATATTTAAACCTATAAATTGAGATTTTCCCTAAAATCTAATTCAACAACAAAAAAAAAAATTATGCCATTTAAAAATCCACGTAATGTCCACGTCAGAAGCTGTATGAATTGGCGGCATATTATTGGTTGGTGAATATCAAATTCATATGAACTCAATCGAGCAATCTGATCCACCCGTCACGAAAGTCGCAAATATCTACGGTTATGAAATACGACACGTCATCCTGTCAAATGTGGCGTCGTTATCTAAAAAAATTCAATCTATTTCTTCGTCTTCCTTTTCATTCGTTGAGATCCTTAACAGAGAGAGAGAGAGAGAGAGAGAGAGAGAGAGAGAGAGAAATCGTTGTTCTGTTTTTCCTATTCGATCTTCAATTTCTCTCTTCTTTGCAATTACGATAATCCATAATCCTCGGTGTCTGTGATTCGTTTAATTCTGTATCTTCTTCTTCATTTTGGAATTCAGATTTCACGAAACCGAAATCTCCATCGCTCTGTGTGCGATTCCGATGTCGGCCATGGAAGGAGGAGGAGGAGGAGGAGGAGGAGGGACGCTTTCTGAGATATACCATAGTGCGAAGAGGCTGCTATTGAGGACCAGGGATGAGCTTGAGAAGCTGGAGCGTCTTGAGTACACGGCGGCCAGCGGCATGGACTCCCCCGACCTTTCCTCCTCGATCAAGAGGGATATTATTCAGATCCAGTCGCTCTGTGTTGAAATGGATAGACTCTGGCGGTCCGTGGCGGCGAAGTCTCAACGTGATTTGTGGAAAAGGTTCTTGTTCCATTCCTCGTGTTTATCTGATTAAATATTTAATTGTGCGGTTTCGTGTCATTTCACGTTACTTTTTCGGGTCGAATTTAAAGTTAGTTTGTATTTACCTGTTTTTCTTCTCCATTTTTGTTGAAATTTGGTTGTTCTTTCTGAATTTCTTGATTTGTTGAAATTTGGTTGTTCTTTCTGAATTTCTTGATTTGTTGATGTATTCGAATGTGATGTTTGTTATGGTCCTCTTCTTTGCCTGATGGAACTTTCGGTTTCCTTGGAGTTATACTATTGTTTCTGCTACACCAGGGAAAAGAAAAGGAAAACCAAGGAAAAATGAAATGAGGGTGGTGTCTTAGATCCTGGATTGAATTTGGTTCGGGAATGCTGCGTTTATTTTGTAATTTACTAACGTGTTGCAATACGGGATTGTGATTTTTTTTTTTTTTTTTGTAATTCTGGATGATCTTAGCTTGTAAACTTGAAGTGGTTCAATTTGGAATTGTCCTGCAGAAAGGTGGAACAGATTGCCGAAGAGGCTGACTCTATGAAACAGAGTTTGGACAAGTATTTTCTTAGAAACCAGAAGCGGATGATGGAAGCAAAAGAGAGGGCAGACTTGGTTGGAAGAGCTGTATGTACTTAACTGTTAGCTGCTTGTGTCTTTTGGTGGCTAAGCCCTCTTTAATCTTTCGTTTTAACCTTTCATTTTAAGTGATCTTTGTTTATGCTGCTTTTGTAGAATGGAGACTCTGCTCACATTTTGAGAATTTTTGACGATGAGGCACAAGCTATGAGTTCAGTTCGAAATTCGTCGCGGATGTTAGAGGAAGCTAGTGCGACGGGAGAAGCGATCCTTTTCAAATACTCTGAGCAGAGGGATCGCCTGAAGGTATGTGCATGACTTTCTTTACTGGGGCTAGCGTTAATTGTTAAAGCTATCTGTGAAAGACTATTGGTGTATTCACTCTATAAATGTGAATATGTTAAGCATTCTATTATATATTCACAGTCCTTTGTTGCTTTAGGTTAGCTGCACGTACGGTGTCTTTGAGTTATGATCATATTTGAAGCATTAATTCAGTGTTTGGATTGTCTTACTAAAGACTGGATTGTCTTACTAAAATAAAGTACTTCCTTAGCATCATTTGATTGATTGTTTCTCAGACACAGTGAAACAAGTAATTTTAAAAGAATGGTAGGTTGAAATGAAATGCTCATCTTCTTTACTACAGCCTTTGTTGGCTACACTTGTAACAGCCTAGCCCACCGCTAGCCGATATTGTTCTCTTTGGATTTTTCCTTCCGGACTTTCCCTCAAAGTTGTAAAACGCGTCTGCTAGGGAGAGGTTTCCACACCCTTATAAAGAATACTTTGTTCCCCTCTCCAACCGATGTGGGATCTCACAATTCACCTCTTTCAGGGCCCAACGTCCTCGTTGGCACACCGTCTGGTCTCCACTCCCCTTCGGGGCTTAGCGTCCTTGCTGGCACACCGCCCCATTTCTGGCTTTGATACCATTTGTAATGGCCCAACCTCACCGCTAGCAAATATTTTCTTCTTTGAGTTTTCTCTTACAGGCTCCCCTTCCAAACTTCCCATTAAAGGATCTCACATCAATGGGATCTCACAGCATTTGATTTAGACTCCACAACCCCCCTCCCCCCCATTACTTATATTCATTCATTTATTTTTGTAAATCAGAGAGCACAAAGGAAGGCACTGGATGTCCTTAACACAGTGGGGCTCTCCAACTCCGTACTGAAACTGATTGAGAGACGGCACCGAGTTGACAATTGGATTAAATATGCAGGCATGATTTTAACAATCGTAGTTGTGTTCGTATTTGTTCGTTGGTTACGATGATTCTTCACATTGATTGTCAGACAATTAGATTCATACTGGATCCTTGAAAGGGATACATTGAGTCTGCTTTAGCCTCCCACTGTTGCACCCCCGAATGTCTCAGTGCACCCAGAAGACAAAAAACCACACACTAAACAGACTACTTAGACAGAGAAGCTACTTCGGACGATGCCCTTCCTGTCGAGCTTTGCAACCGCAGTAACTCGGCATGTTTTCAGCTAACCTTTAGACCCTTCTGGGTTGCTATTGTTTAAGTTCTGATACAAGATGCATGGATCTGTCAGAAGCAGCTGCTTGATGATCGATGGTGGCATCAACTTCTGAAGTTTCTTGGTGCCTCAGTTCTCTTCTCTAAGGTTATTTCTTCCTTTTTCTAGTAGAGATTTTGCACCTACTACTAGAACTATGTGAAGATCGCTTGGTAATCTCTGTAGTATTCTCCTTTTTTTTTTTTTTTTTTTTCTTTTTCAAATTATGGTGTTTAAACATGTAAGTTGTTCTTGTAGCTTTGACTACCATACCCACATATTTGATTTTAAATAAATCCCCTATTTTAGGCAGGGTCAGCCTTCATTTTGATGGATTATGAAATTATTTCAGCGATTTATAGTTGAAAATTAGTTTGCCATTGATCTCATGGTTGCTAAATATGTTTCTGGTGCAGAAATATTTGAGGGCATTTGTTGATATGAATTTAAGACAGTATTATTCTAAGAAAACATTGAATTATCGACCTTGGAGATGACGATAATTAGTGTTACAATTCACAAATTTATTGTTTCTTGACTATCGTTAGTATGAACTACTTTTCTTTAAGTCAGAAGTATAAATCTCTAGAAACTATTTTATAGTACTTTCGAAAATCTTTGAACATAATATCATCATGATGATATTGTTTCTTACGTTCTCAAATATTATATTTTAATTAGGTGATAGAACATGAGAGCGATTCTGATTAAATTAATAAAAATATTCTTAAATTTTGTACTTTCTTTAAAAAAAAATCAAAGCTATTATTATAATATTGAATATTGTGTAGTTAACATATGAGAATATTATGTTCGAGTAATAACCCAAATGGTTTATAGTACGTGGATGAGGTTAGGTGTGGATGAGGTTAGGTGTCTTATATCGTTAACACTAATACGATGAGTGAGTATGAATGTTTTATATAATAAGTTTGTAGAAGACCGAACCATGAGATATTTTATATTTCTATATAAATTCGTTAATTGAGAAAATTAATATTTCACACAATGATTATATGTGAGTCGGTCTTAGTATTAAGTGAGTTATGAACTCCTACTTATGAGGCTTGTTCTTTGATGATAATGATTTTTGTAGTCAATTCAGTGTTCTTGCCATTTTTTTACTTGAACAAATAGAGAGCTGAAAACATAATGTCGTGAGATGAAATTCGCTTATTTCGTACATGGGTAAATATATGAATAACTTTAAGTGTTGATTTCGAGACTTGAACAATAGAGCCCCACCCTTTCACTAGATAATCAATGATAATGGATAAGTATAAACTAGTTTAGTTGGATCATAAAAAAAATTATCAATGATACTTAAGATGTAAGAAGTACTAAAAAGGACAAGATGAATTTTTTACTCAATTGTAATTACGAACAACTTGTGAATAATCGACTCGCTTGCAACGACTACATCCTAAACACAACAATACATCTCCTTTACCTACTTGTGATAGTTCTACTAGACATGACAAACAAACTACCTCCTCAACTCTAGCGAGTACAAGAACTTGGTTACAGAGAATATCAAATGAGAAATACACTAGACTACGACAACATTCATACGAAAGTGTACTAAATTGAGTAAAGATCTTCGACCATCGATAATCAAACTAACAAACATTTGTATATACTCAAACTGTAAACTCTTTTTTATCTTCTAATTAATGGATAGCGTAATGCAACCTTTTAGTCATTTTCGGGTATTTTCTCTATCTCGTGGGGCCTGCTCTGAGCTTCGAGGCCCACTCCGAGTCTCCGATGGCAACAATGGATTAATGGGGCCATGGTATGTTAAGGCCCAAAATGGTTTCCATCGAAAAGGCGGGAACTTTGGTGTTCCATAGAATGAACAAACGATCGTATTATCATTATGTATAATTAATTTATGTCCATGTCAAAATTCCAGAATCATTTCTGTTATCTTTGTGGCGCCCTTGAACGGAAAGAGCAGAAAGCTGCCCACTCGTATTCTTCTAACTCGACCACCGGAAAAGAGAGCAGCAGAGACAAAAAATGGAGGCTATTCTAAAGGTAAAAATGTTTTTTCTTCTTCTTCTTTTGATTCTGGTTATGGGGTTATGCTTGTTTCGATTACCGCGGTTTGTTTTTTTGGACTTGTTCTTCTTTGTTGTTGATTAATAGTGAACAATAAGGACATCATTTGTAAAAGAAATTTGTGGGTATTGCATTTGTTGTGGTTTGATCGCTGTTATCTGTACTGTTGCAGAGTTCATTTGGTTTCTCGGCGTTCAGGCCGTATCAGAAAGAAGTCATTCAGGACATTCTTCAAGGGAAGGATTGCTTGGTGGTCATGGCTACTGGAAGTGGCAAGTCCTTATGGTATCTGTAGTTGTCTCTTCTACCATTTGGGTTTGCTTGTTCTTGTTTATTAGCTATTTATTTATTGTATGTTTACTTGTCAAAGTTATCAGGTACCGCCTTTGGTTGTTGGAAAGACTGGCATAGTTGTTAGCCCTCTTATATCACTAATGCAAGATCAGGTAATTGATTGTTGTCATTATCACTGTTTGGCTTTTCACGAGTGTAACGGCCCAAGCCCCACCGCTAGTAGATATGGTCCTCTTTGAGCTTTTCTTTTCGGGTTTCCCCTCACGGTTTTTAAAACGTGTCTGCTAGGGAGAGGTTTCCACACCCTTATAAAGGGTGCTTTGTTCTCCTCCCCAACCGATGTGGGATCTCACAATTCACCCCCTCCGGGGTCCAGCGTCCTAGCTGGCACTTGTTCCCTACTCCAATCGATGTGGGATCTCACCATGAGAATAGTGAAGTGAAGGTTTACACAAACTGATCTGAACACTCACGGGCGTTAAAAAAACATTTTTCTGTTTCTCTTTTTTGCTATTGGGTTTTGGACCTCATTCTTCTTGCCTAACCCATTTTAGAATATGGATTTTGTAGGTAATGGCTTTAAAACAAAGAGGCATCATGTCTGAGTACCTTGGCAGTACTCAGACTGATTCCACTGTTCAAGCCAAGGCGGAGAATGGTCAATATAATATTTTGTTCATGACACCAGAGAAGGCATGCTCTGTTCCTATCAGGTAAGAATTCCTGGAGCAATTCTAAGTCCAATTCTAGGCATTCCTCTTTCTATCTCTGCCTCTTTCTGAGTTTTCATGGCATTTGTATTGTTGTCATTCAATCCCATGTCTGTTTCATTCTCACTTCTTCTCTCTCTCTGTCTTGCTTGATCATGAGTTTTATTTGTTGTGATTTTCTGTATATAGACAGAAGTAATTCTTAAATTCTAGTGAAAAATCACTGTGGATATTATAGTTGTAGAGTGAAACTATTGTCCTTGAGCATCCTGGGAAGGAAAAACGTTTATACGATTGAATCCTTGAAAGGAGGACTAGGTATTACTAGCTGTACAATATGCGGTAACAGATTTGAGTACTTCTGTCGTATTCAGGAATTGGATGTGAGATCCCACATTAGTTGGGGAGGAGAACGAAACACCCTTTATAAGAGTGTGGAAACCTCTCCCTAGTAGACGCGTTTTAAAAAACCTTGAGGGGAAGCCCGAAAGGGAAAGCCCAAAGAAGACAATATTTGCTAGCGATGGACTTGGGTTGTTACAAAGGGTATCAGGGCTAGACACCGAGCGATGTGTCAGTGAGGAGGTGGAGCCCCGAAGGGGGGTGGACACTAGGCGGTGTGCCAACAAAGATGCTGGGCTTCGAGGGGGAGGGGGGGGGGGGGGATTGGGGAATCCCACATTGATTGGAGAAGGGAACAAGTGCCAGTGAGGACGTTGACCCTGAAGAGGGATAGATTGTGAAATCCCACGTCGGTTGGGGAGGAGAACGAAACACCCTTTATAAGAGTGTGGAAACCTCTCCCTAACAGACACGTTTTAAAACCTTGAGGGGAAGCCCGGAAGAGAAAGCCCAAAGAAAACAATATCTACTACCGGTGGACTTGGACTCTTACATACTCTTAGTCTACGAGAAAAGAAAAAAGAACAAAAAAAAAACCGAGTAGACTAATAAATGGTTCCCACCTCTCCCAATGTTTCCCAAAAGACCGTTCAAAGAAAACGAGAGACCTGACCAACAATTTGGTATTTAAACAGATCCAATCCTGCTTTTTTGTTAAACAGTGATTGACTTTTAGCTAATGGACTAAAAATGTTGCCTAAGAATGAGAAGTTTGTCACATGTCTATAGCAGGAAGGAGGAGACATGGACAAAGTATGCTAGGACAAATGACAAAGTATGATAGAATTACCTCTCTGTCTCTTTCTACTAGTTTTTGCCAGCCTTGTTGGATTTTCTGCTTTTCGACCATGGAAGCACAGTGATGGATGGCCTTTATAAGTTTTGTTCTTGTATCGTTTCTATATTGACATTTTCCGTGGGGACCGAGACTTCCCACATGCAACCTGTCGTTGCGAGTCATCCTCCAGTCACTATAGTTGCTAANGGGGGGGGGGGGGGGGGGGGGGGGGGGGTGGATTGGGGAGTCCAACATCGATTGGAGAAGGGAACGAGTGCCAGCAAGGACGCTAGGTCCTGAAGGGGGTGGATTGTGAGATCCCACGTCGATTGGGGAGGAGAACGAAACACCTTTTATAAGGGTGTGGAAACCTCTCCCTAACAGACACGTTTTAAAAGCCTTGAGGGTAAGCCCGAAGAGGACAATATCGGCTAGTAGTGAGCTTGGGTTATTACACGATGTGTGGGATGGATATACAATGTTGAATACTTATGATGTAATTCTGATGGAATTACATTTTACTCGGTGGCAAAGATGGTTCAAATGGAGAGTTGTGATTCATGACATTCTACTCTTCTATCGTGATTAACACTCCTACTGATTTACTTTGAACTTCATTTTTACAGCTTTTGGTCAAAATTACAGAAGGCAGGAATTTGTTTGTTTGCCGTTGATGAAGCACACTGCATTTCAGAGTGGGGGCATGATTTCAGGTTCATCTTTGATCTTATCCATTTTCCTCTCATTTCAACTCGACTCCAATGGACCTTATCCTGACATACTTGGCCTATTGATTTAGATGTTTAGTTTTCTAACGTCGAAGGTCTCTAGGAAACGGATTATAGTGCCTTATTTAGCCAAGTTGTTAGCATTGAGATGAAAAAACATATTGTTGTTTAGTGTTTCTTCATGTTGTTCGTGGAGTTTTCCTCTCTCCTTTTTAGTACTTCTCTTAATTGTTCTGTGAATTATCGGGTCGGTACTGGTTCACAGGGTAGAATACAAACGATTGGACAAACTACGAGACGTTCTACCAGGCCTTCCATTTGTTGCCTTGACTGCCACTGCTACTGCAAAGTCGGTAGAACGTGATATCTTGCGTCGTTATTCTTTTTTAACTTTAATGTTTATGCTTTTACCTTAAACTATTTCAATAAGCTTTCTTGGGGAAATTAATTTTTCGGTTTTTATTTCACATACTGTTCCAGGGTTCGGAGTGACATCATTAGTTCTTTGAAGATGAAAGATCCACAAGTTACCATTGGTTCATTTGATCGGACTAACCTTTTTTATGGAGTGAAGTCTTTTAATCGTGGTCCATTATTCTTGAACGAGCTCGTGCTCGATATATCTAAATATCTGGCCTCTGGTGGTTCAACTATCATTTACTGCACGACAATTAAAGATGTTGAGCAGGTATTTTCTTTTGCCTCTTACAAACATGGACAGATAAATCTTTTGCATACTCACCTAGTATTCCAGAGAATCAAGCAATAGGATTGTTTCATTATTGTTAATACTTTGTTAGATTTTTGTTAAAGATGCACGTTCAGGTTTATGTCGTCGAACTTATAGATTAGCTGTTTGTGAACTTCAATCGACATTTTCGTAGATATTCAAGGCACTTGAAGAAGCAGGGATTTGTGCTGGTATCTATCACGGTCAAATGGACAAAAAAGCACGTGCCGAATCCCACAGGTTATACCACTATTTTGAGGCTCTTATGGAGATGTGCCCTCTCTAATCAATAGTACCGGCAACCATTTTTTCCTTTTCTTGTCATTTATGAGCTGTTGTGGCCTGTTATGTATGTGTTTCTCTGCTTTTATGGAGATGTGCCCAAAGAGTCTAGAATCTTATTACCAGGAAAGTGGGCGATGTGGTAGAGACGGTATGGCTTCTGTTTGCTGGCTTTATTACACGAGAAGCGACTTTAGTAAAGCAGACTTTTACTGTGGGGAATCACAAACTGTATGAATTGTGCTTTGCTCTTAAATTACTTACCATTTTATTTGATGAACACTTCACTTTGCCTCTGGTGTATGTGTATATAGTTTGAAATTTAAACTGGATTCTTCTGTTTTTGCTTCCTTTCGTTAGGAAAACCAAAGAAGAGCTATTATGGAGTCGTTGATGGCTGCACAACAGTATTGTTCACTAGCAACTTGCAGAAGAAGCTTCTTGCTCAATTATTTTGGGGAAAAATATCAGTTTGATAAATGTGGTTTGTCTTTTACTTGGTTTTATCTGTTAAATTTTGTGAATTATCATGACCTTCTTCCAGTAATCAATTCTCAATTTCATTTTGTAGAGAGCATATTGCCATGTAATTTTTTCTGGTTTGTTCAAATGGTTTTAAAGGATCTCCCTAGAGGTCTAGAACGTTTAGCATAGGATCATTCTTAGCATTTTTGGTACCAATGGACAAGGGTGAAGCTCTAAAGTGATTTATAGAAATTGAAATTTTTTTTCTATTATTGTTTGGATGTTTTACTGGAGTATCGTATCTCTTCTGTGATATCCCACATCGGTTGGGGAGGAGAACGAAACACCCTTTATAAGGGTGTGGAAACCTCACCCCAGTACACACGTTTTAAAAACCTTGAGGTGAACCCCGAAAGAGAAAGCCCAAAGAGAACAATATTTGCTAGCGGTGGGCTTGGGCCGATACAAATGGTATCAAAGCCAGACATCAGACGATCTGCCATAGAGGAGACTGTTTCTTGAAAGGGGTAAACATGAGGCGGTGTGCCAGCAAGGATGCTGGGCCCCGAATGAGGGTGGATTTGGTGGGGGTCCTACATTGACTAGAGAAAGGAACGAGTGCCAACGAGGACGCTGAGCCCTAAAGGAGGGTGGATTGTGAGACCCCACATCGGTTGGGGAGGAGAACGAAACACCCTTTATAAGGGTGTGGAAACCTCTCCCTAGCATACACGTTTTAAAAACCTTGAGGGGAAGCCCGAAAGGGAAAGCCCAAAGAGGACAATATCTGCTAACGGTGGGTTTGGGCTGATACAAATGGTATCAAAGCCAGACATCAGACGATGTACCTTAGAGGAGGCTGTTCCCCGAAGGGGGTAAACACGAGGCGGTGTGCTAGCAAGGACGCTGGGCCCGAATGAGGGTGGATTTGGTGGGGGTCCCACATTGATTGGAGAAAGGAACGAGTGCCAGCGAGGACGATTGTGAGATCCCACATTGGTTGGGGAGGAGAACGAAACACCCTTTATAAGGGTGTGGAAACCTCTCCCTAACATACACGTTTTAAAAATTTTGAGGGGAAGTCCGAAAGGGAAGCCCAAAGAGGACAATATCTGCTAGCGGTGGGCTTGAGCCGTTACATCTTCTAAATTTTGGTGGGGGCAAGAAATCATATTTTTGGAGGATAATGGTATAGTATGTATGTGGATTTAAAAACTTATTAGTGTAATTTTACTATTATTAGTTTAGGGCTTAAGATCTTCTATGTATGCCTATATATATTCGACTCTATCGTATAGAATGTGATTGGATTTTACCAACGAACTAATAGCGACATTATTTTACTTGTTCTATATGTTGATATCAAGCATTTTATGTCTCAAAACTTCCTCAAAGTCATTTTTATGCTTAAAACTTAGGAACATTAAAGTACTTCTTGGGTAAGTAATGAGAAGCAAGAAGGGCATCTTTATGTACCAAAGGAAATATGTGCTTGATTTGTCGTCTAAGACGAGAAAATTGAGAGCCAAGCCATGTTGTATTCCAATGTAGTTTATGTCTTTACCTACATTGGATCATTGTAGTACAATAAATTCTATGTTATTTGAAGGCTACACTTGGACGTGGGGATCTTATATAAAGATCATGATCATATGAAGATTGAGCGTTTTTCAGACGTCGGTTGGGATCAAGAGAAGATAGAAGATCGACTTTATGGAAAAGTAAGAAACAAAATGTAGTTTCGCGATCAAATGCTAGATCAGAATATAGAGCTATGACACGATCGATATATGTAATAATGGGGTACATCAACTTTGGATTGAATTAAGTTTCAATATTACAGTTCCAACCAAGTTGTGGTATGATATGTTGGATGATGGAAGTCCCACATCGACTAATTTAGGAAATGATCATGGGTTTATAAACAAAGAATACTCTCTCCATTGATATGAGGCCTTTTGGGGAAGCCCAAAGTAAATCCATGAGAGCTTATGCTCAAAGTGGACAATATCATACCATTATGGAGAGTCGTGGTCGTCTAACGATAATCAAGCCGCCCTTCCTATTGCATCCAACCTAGTATTTCACGAGCTAACTAAACATATTAAAATTGATTGTCATTTTGCTCGTGATAAAATATAATAAGGCTTGGTGTCCATTAGATATGTGAAGATCAGAGAGCAATTAGGAGATATTTTCACGATAGATTTAACTAGAGTTCGATAGGTTATCTTTGTAATTTTACCATTATTAGTTTAGGGCGTCGATGTATTCCTATATATACTTGGCTTTACTTTAAAGGCTATGGTGGTTCAATGCTCGTTAACATAGAGGCTATGGTGGTTGTTAGTGTATGCTTACAACTATGTACGGTGTACCGCTTCCTTTATAACAGCCAAAGTCCACCGCTAGCAGATATTGTTCTCTTTGGCTTTTCCTTCAAGGACTTCATCTCAAGGTTTTAAAACGCGTCCTCTAGAGAGAGGTTTTCACATCCTTATAAGGAGTGATTATCACCCTCTTGGGACGAGGTGATATATGATTCTTGGCATCTCAAGCGTGTTTAAGGGTATTATCTGCATCCTTTTTATTTGGTGCTGTTGTTATGACTGGAAATCGACGTATGATGAAGGCATGGCTGTTTCTTTTGTAATACATATTTATGAACGTAACACTTTTCGAAACGCTTGTTCATCTGTAATTTTATTTAGCTGTTGTCTTATCAACGCCTCTGGCAGGAAATTGTGATAACTGCATAGTCTCCAAAAAGGAGCGTGACATGTCAAAGGAAGCATTTCTTCTGCTGGCGACCATCCAATCATGCAGGGGTAAATGGGGACTGAACATGCCTGTGGATATTCTTCGTGGGTCTCGAGTAAGTTCTTAGCTATGAAACTTCAGGACTTTCTTCGATTCTCGAGTTTTCTGAACAGAATCGTTTAATGTTTCGCCTCCTTGAGATGTTCTTGATCTCATAACATAATGAACATTTGTTTTCTGATCTTTACATTTTGTTAAATAGAACATTCTTTTGTGCTGTTGCAGGCTAAAAAGATACTTGATGCTCAGTTTGACAAGCTTCCACTTCATGGACTTGGAAGAGAATACTCATCAAATTGGTGGAAAGCATTAGCTAGTCAACTAATTTCTCAAGGTATGTAAAGGAACTTAAATTGCTTTCATTATGAATCCACTAGTCCCCAACCACGCTTCTATGGGGCTCCTCGATCTCTCTATTCACGGCTTTCCCTCCTTGCTTCATGGCTCCAGTCATGATCTCGATCTCATAGATTTGAGCTGCATCTCGAGTCTTGGAGTAAGTGCGATGAATAAAATTCCATATTGAGCGTTTTGTAAAAACATATATATATTGCTTTGATAGATGGCTCCATAGAATCCTAGAGCCATGACATTATCATGGAGTCGTCCTCGTCCCATGCAACAAATCCTGGGTCCGTCTCTTTTGGTCTTGGTCGAACAAGATATCATAGATCACCTATCTTCAGGCACTAGTATGTAGGAATTTCTTCGAGTGCCAAAAATGTGGGCTTGAATTGATTGTTTTGCTTCTTTTTGTATTATTAAGAACTAGTTCATCTTTTATGAATTGTAGTGTTTAACACGTATTGTACAAAATTCTATTTTCGTGCAGGCTATTTGACAGAGAACATACGTGATGTTTACAGAACCATAAGGTCAGCTACTTTCACCCAATCTCGTACTTCTGCAACTTGCATAACTTCAGTGTCTATTGAGATCCCACATTGGTTGGAGAGGGGAACGAAATATTCCTTGTAAATGTGTAGAAACCTCTCCCTAGTAGACGCGTTTTAAAAACCTTGAGGGAAAGCCCGAAAGGGAAAGCCCAAAGAGGACAATATCTACTAACGGTGGGTTTGGGCCATTACAGATGGTATCAGAGCCAATCACTAGACGGTGTGCTAGTAAGGACGTTGGGCCCCCAAGGGGGGTGGATTGTGAGATCCCACAATGGTTGGAGAGGGGAACGAAGCATTCCTTATAATGATGTGAAAACCTCTCCCTAACAAACGCGTTTTAAATCCTTGAGGGGAAGCCCGGAAGGGAATGCCCAAAGAGGAAAATATCTACTCGCGGTGGGCTTGAGAATCTCATTTTCTCCGAATTATCTGAATTTGAAACCGAGAATCATAATAACCATTCCTTCTTAACAACAGTATCAGTGCAAAAGGGGAAAAGTTTCTCAATGCTGCCAGAGATGACTGTCAACTGCCTCTAGTTTTGCCGGTGACAAGTGAAATGATTGGTGAGAGTGGAGATGACAATACATTAATTGAAACTGGGAGAATGGAGAATTTGACTACTTTGAAGAGTGGACTTTCAGAGGTTTGCATGCTAAGTTCGGTTCCTCGTAATTCTTATACCACGACTTTCATCTTTCTTAAGGAAATATTTGAATTCTTATTTAAATTCTTATTCCACTAGTTTTCTTTTTTTTTTTTCCGGTATGATTGAAATTTACAAAAGGGATGTATAGTCCATAGTGTTACAAAAGACCTTCTCAATTTGCAACGAGGAAGGTATAACTATAAGAAGTAAAAATATTAGACAGTTTACATCAAGAGATAGCTTGGTAAACAACATTGTCGAAAAGTTTTGTGTAGGTCTGTGTCTTTTCTGCAAATATTATATGATTTCGTTCTTTCCACATATTCGAAAAGAAAGTCATGATGAGGTTTTTCCATAATAGGGCTTTTGCGTTCTTGAAAGGGTGGTACGTTAAGGCCATATCCAAAAATTCCTTTACCTCCCTAGGAAATGTGAGATGTCATCTGATTATATTGAGAATCGTTGTCAAGAAATTTTGAGCGTATGTGCATTGCATAAACAAGTGGCTTTGTGATTCGTTTTATTTCTTGCATAGGAGACAGAGTGATGTAAGACATTCCCAAAGGAAGAACTTCACCTTTTTAGGCTGATGTCCTTTCCATACTTTCTTTGCTAGCGTGAGATTTATTGCTTCTACTTTTTCCCCCATGTCCATCATCAAGGATTTTGTAGAAAAGACCCCGTCAGCGCCGGAGAGCCAAGTCAGTGAGTCTGCTTTGTTTGACAATACCACGGGGGCAAGCTACTTTTAGTTTTCTAATCTTGGCTTGAATTCGAAAACATTTGTTAAAAATAGATTACAAATCAAAGAATCTCAGAAGTGAAAGTGGTGATCAATAACTAAAAACCAAATGGTTATCAAACAAACTTGTCCATTTGTATTTATTCGATCATTTCTACGCAGGCTGAGGCGAAACTCTTTCAAATGCTTTTAGACGAGAGAATGAAGCTTGCTCGAAGCGCGGGAACTGCCCCGTAGGTTCTATAAACGCGTTTAATCTGCTTATTGTGAAAACTGGCACTTTACTCCATTTGTTATGCATTTGTATGTATGGAAAACCTCTCTTTTCTTTTAACTTGCCATACTTCTTATCTGCAGGTATGCCATATGTGGTGATCTAACAGTTAAAAAAATTGCATTAACTAGACCATCTACCAAGGCAAGATTAGCAAATATTGATGGTGTCAACCAGGTATACCATTCTCGAGTAAAGACTACATATTCTTAAATGTCTATGGACTTGAAGTTCTTAACATTGCGTTTATATGTGATGATTCGACATGGATTTCTTTCTCGAAAGTCGGTAGTTTATACATGTGCTAGCTCGCTATAAAAGTACTTCTGAATTTCAATGCATTTTTGTCCATATCTTGTGTTATAATATATAATATATCCCACGCAAGGGCGCGTGAAGCCTTCGTTTCAGCTCCCGTTGCATGGGTTTATCTTCGTTTGTGGTTTCCGGTCGTTCTGTATGCTTGGATTTGACAAAACCTACTCCGTTCGTCTCTAGTTATGTTATTTAGGAGTGTTCATGTGACCCAATAATCCAAACAACCTAGACTACCTAACCCAAACGGTAAGGGTTGGGTTGAATTTTGGAAAATCTAAAATTCGGTTTGGTTTGCAGGTTGGAAACTTTTTGGTTGAGTCGACCCGATCAATTCGAAAATAGGGTTCCCAACTCAACTCTACCCAACTTTTAAGATTTTTATGAATATTAAAACCATTTGACGTTTGCAATAGAGGTTAGTGATGCGTTGGACTTGTGAATATTTGATATTTGAGTTTTATGAGATTTTAGTTATTAACGTGACAAGTATTGTTAACAAGTATGAGTATTAAAAGAAAAAATAAAGCGAACAACCCGAAGACTTAACCCGATCCAACCCTTAAAATAGAGGGTTAGGTTAGGAACTCTATTCGGTTCATTAGGGTAGCCAACCTTACCAATCCGAAATTTCGGGTTGGTCCAGAAAAAATTTCCAACCCAACTCAACCCGTGTACAACCCCCTAGTTTTTTTTCCTGCCTTTGTGATAATGCTCAATTGCACATTCAAATTAAGAATTCAATTGGCTTGGTCAATAATCACGTAGAAGATTTTGATATTTTATTACTTTTGTTGACGATTATTCTCGTATGACTTTGTTCATTGTCAAGCTCTAGAAAGTCGATGATCGTCTCTAACGTTTGACGGTCGTCTTTGATGTCGTGACAATGTTATTACCTTTGAATTATGCTATGATTCAAGTGTTTAATGTTCTTCAATAATCCTATAGCACCTGCTAAAAATGCATGGAGATCTAATCCTTCAAGCAGTGAAGCATCTATCACAAGAAGTTGGTCTTTCACTGGATGGTGAATGTAAAGAAGACGGAAACGGACAATGTACGTCAGCTCGAAAACTTAATACAGAATCCAATCAAGGGAGACCGTTGGCACCGGCGAAGTTCGAAGCATGGAAAATGTGGTATGAAGACGGTCTCTCAATCCCGAAAATCGCTGTAAGTAATCTTTTTTCCTTGAAGTTTTCTACAGAAAAAGTCGTATGACGATGAACATGGTAGTGTCGAAACTCGCCCCTCGTGTATAAGCCTGATAAATAACTGTGAATCCATTAAAATGTCTTGAGCTGTTCCTCTTTTCCCTTTGATTTACATTATTCTGATATCATTATGTATTTGGAACATAGAACTTCCCTGGTAGATCAGCACCTATCAAAGAAACTACTGTTTCTGGGTACATTCTTGATGCAGCTCAGGAAGGATATGCAATTGATTGGACCAAATTTTGTGATGAGATTGGTCTTACATGTTCGTTATTTTCCGATATTCAATCTGCTGTTTCGAAGGTCGGATCTACGGACAAGTTAAAAGCTATAAAAGATGAATTACCCGAGGAGGTGAGTTGGATATTGTAAAATATGTTTTCTTCTATTTCCTAGTTTTTGACATGTCTGTACATTAGTTATCCATGCGTTTCTTGTCGTTTTTATGCTTGTTCTTGTTGATTTTATGCTTGTTCTTGTCGATTTTATGCTTGTTCTGGTCGATTTTATGCTTGTTTTTTTTTCATTTTTATGCTTGTTGTTGATTTTATGCTTGTTTTTTTCAATTTTATGCTTGTTTTTGTCGTTTTTATGCTTGTTTTTGTCGTTTTTATGCTTGTTCTAGTTGTTTTTATGCCTGTTCTTGTCGTTTTTAGGCTTGTTCTCGTTGTTTTTATGCTTATTCTTGTCTTTTGTATGCTTGTTCTCGATGATTTTATGCTTGTTCTTGTTGATTTTTATGCTTGTTCCGGTTGTTTTTATGTCTGTTCTTGTCGTTTTTAGGCTTGTCCTTGTTTTTATGCTTGTTCTTGTTGATTTTATGCTTGTTCTTGTTGTTTTTATGCTTGTTTTGGAGGATTTTATGCTTGTTTCTTGTCGATTAAGCTTGTTCTTGTCGTTTTTATGCTCATTCTTGTCGATTTTTGGATGAATGTTCATTCATCAGCATATGACTGAAAGTCGATATTTGGATGGCAGATTAATTATGCACACATCAAGGCTTGTCTGTTCATGCAAAAATGTGGAATATCCCCCGAAACTACGCTACCCCGAGACGAAAAAACCGACGAACCTATGAATGTTGTGCCAAAGTTTTCAGGGAGTCCAACCTCAAAGCAGCAAAAAGAAGAGCCTAATGTAGCCACAGCTTGTAATCCTTCAACAGAGGAAATTCCCATCTCATTAAAGCGTCAAAAAGTCGAAGAAAATCGGGTTCCAGTAAAAGCAACCGAGAGCTCGCTAGTAGAGTGGCTGAAGAACAATGACGGGGTACGTGAAACGAAGCAAACCTCTATGAACTTTTACATTAACATGGTTTAAATGAAGAATGCAATATGGTTGAAAATGCAGGTTACACTTGACAATATGATGCAGCACTTCAAAGGCTCTGAAGAAGAATCTCTGGTTGCTATGCTAAATGCTCTTGAAGGCGATTTTGTGATATATAGAAAGAACAATATCTACAAGCTCATGTAAGTAAGCCCCAAACCTTTGCTCTAAATGCTCTTAACAATGCTATCATTTGATCAGGTGTACGTCCAACCTGACAATCCCGACCAATTCAACCTGAATTATAAGGTTGAGTTGGATTGGATTGGGTTATTTTTTCTGAACCCGAATTGCTCGGTTCGGTTTTGGATTCATAGGACAACTGAAATGGGCAGCTTTTGGTACTTGCAAATATATGTATAAATCTTGTCCTTAATATTTTTGTAATCTTTTAGTTTAACCTCGCTTTCCTTTTCGGGGTTCTTCTCAAGGTCTTAAAACGTGTTTGTTAAGGAGGGATTTCCACCATCTTATAAGGAATGCTTCGTTGTGTCTCCAACCGATGTGAGATCTCACAATAATCGTCAACCGAGCATAGTTTAATAGATAAGACACTAATTATCATCTCAAAGGTTAACGGTTTGATTTTTTGAAAAAAATGAAATTGATTTTAAATAAATAGCCACAAATAACCACAATTTTTAACCATTTAAAATTTAAAAACTTATTAATAATTTTTAAATAGAAGGAACTAGTCCATTTTCTATAACCTCCTAATATTTTTTTTTATCTAACATGCATATCTTTAATAATATATACAAAAATAAAAAGAAATAAAAAAAAACATTTCAAACGATATGACATGAAGTTATACATTTAGTTTAAAACAAGAAATATAAATAATGTTTTTTTTCTTTTTCTTCTTACACTAAGTATTGATACACACTGATTGGGAGGAGAACAAACTACCATTATAAGGGTGTGGAAACCTTTCCCTTGTAGACGTGTTTTAAAGCCTAAAGAGGACAATATTTATTAGCGATGGATCTAGACCGTTACAAATAGTATCAGAGTCAAACACCGGACGATGTGTCAGCCTTCTCGTTGTTCCCTGAAGGGGGTAGACACAAGGCGGTGTGCCAGTAAGAACGTTGGGCCCCGAAGGGGATGGATTTGGGGGCGGTCCCACGTCGATTGGAGGAAGGAAAGAGTGCCAGCAAGGACGCTGGGCCAACTTATGCCGCCATTTTTTCGAAGGGTTGGTTCTGTGTGTTTGTTTTTAGTTTAAATTAATCGATTAATTAACTTAATTTTTTAGGTACATTTCATCCAACTATTAAAACACATTAAATGTGTTTTTGGCAACAAAACCATTTTTTTCAATAAAATTGTAATATCTTTTTGATGATGAAAAGAGAATGAAAGTACAACGAATGAACCCAAAAGGAAGGAAAATATGATTGTAGTTTTGTTTTGAAGCCGAAATTGAAAGCCAAAACCATCAAAATGCATAGAATGGCTAATGGGTTTCCTTTTTGAGGTCTTTTCAATCCCTTTTGCTTTCATTTGCAAAGGACAACCATTTTCTATGGACCATTCAAAACTTCTCTCCACACCTCGTACCATTCATTTGGGTACAAATTTCTATAAGCTTTATTCCGCTCTACTTCTTCTCGATACGAATACGTGGCAGTCAGACCTAAAATAAGGAAGGAATTGATTCCTCTAGTTAGGTGGGCGTTGTATGGTTTTTACTTACGGGATTTCTGTTATATAAGAAACTATGGGTGTTCGTATGACCTGATAATCTAATCAATCCCGACTGTCCAACCCAAATCATAAAAATTTGTATTGTGTTGGGTTGTGATATAGAATCAATCTGAGGGAAAGTATGAAATGGATTACTTTGATGATCAAGATCAAGAGTAAAAAAAAAAAAAAACTCGTTTCTAAGCTCATGATTCGAATCATTCCATAAAAGGTTTGATGAATATCACTTGAATAACTAACGGTAGCAAGCAAGTTCTAAACACAAGAATTTGAAAAAGAAAATCTTACCTCTAGCTAAAAAAAACGACTAGTTAACGGTGGAATATGGTAACCTATGTGGGTTACAATGTAACCTTAACTTCTATATTAAAAATTAGCTTAAATATGACAAACAAATATTTAAATTATAATTAAACAGTGGAAGAAATGTGCTTATCAGTATCTCTAGACTAGTTCCATAAATTCAGCTAGTTCAAACATCTCTTTCTTCAAGCTCAACTTTACACCATACAAGGAGGTCTCCTTCTAGAATTTTATTTGATAAGCTCACCATAACTTGAATATAAGTGTACGAGGTTTGTTGTAACTTTTTGGCTCTCGTCCTTGTAACGGGACCTTGAGGTATGAAAATTCCTTGATCGTGGTTCATATCAGGTTGGGTTGAATTTTTTAACAATCGAAAATTTAGTTCGGTTTGTGAATTGTCATTTTTTTGTCTAGTCAACCCGAAAGACCTAAATATAGGGTTACAATCCAACCCAACTCAATCCTACCCTACTTTTAAAAAGATTAAGAATATTTAAAGTTTATAACATATGTTAGTGATGGATGGCTCGTAACCGTTTGATACTTGGATTTTATGAGATTTTAGTTATTAATATAACATGTATTGCAATAAAAAAGAACTCGATAACTCAACCCAACTCAACACAATATGAAAATAGAGAGTTGGGTTGGGAACTCTATTCAGATTGCTCGGGTCACCAACTTAACCAACCCGAAACTTCGTGTTAGTCCAAAATATTTTTTGAACTCAACCTAACCTATATACACTCCTACAAGAATATGTTCTCATAACGGTTTTTGATTCAGTATGTAACAAGTTAGTCTGTAATATATATTTGTTGTGCAAAAAATCTGAAATTTTGAGTGATTTGTCTCGGGTAAAAAAAATATATTCCTAACTAAAATTAGAATTTATGAAGCTTTAACAGGGAGGAGATATAATTATTTAAATTCATCCTATTTTAATTTTGTATTAATAAATAAATATTAAAACTAAACTTTTTATTTTCTTTATTTTCTAGCCATATAAAATTTTAAATACAATGTACTTTTCCATAATGGCTTCAATTTAAAATAATCCCATAATGGGTTTAATTTAAATATTTTTTTTAAATTTTAAGAATATTATTAAAATTTAAAAATTATATGATGCAATTATTCAACTCCTACTATGTAGGATCGTTTGTACCATTTTTGGGAAAAAAAAAAAAAAGGAAAAAGTTGAGAATATTATTTTTAAATAATAATTAAAAAAAAACATTTCTGCAATATAAATTATTGATGTCTGAAATTAACCATTTTTTCCGACAGTGTTGTCTTTTCACATATTTTTGGAGACCATAAAGTTTAATTCATTAAAAAAGTATCGAAAATATAAAAAAATTTATATATTTTTTTTAAAACTAATTAGATTGATTAACAATTATTTAAATTTGTGTTAAAGAAAAATAATTAAATCCAATATTTTAAAATAAAAGCTTCTCACTTTCTTTGCAAAATAAATGAGAAGAAAATTAAAAAAAAATCGAACTCTTTTAATATTAAAATTTAAAAACCATATTTATAAAAAGTCCAATAATTCGAAAAATTCAACTAACTTAACTCAACTGCGTAGGGTCCGATTGAGTCATGAATTGATTTGAAATAAATTATATCCAAATAAATTAACTCAAATTTATTGTTATTTTTAAAATATGCGTATATGTATATTTATTTTACTTTTATTAATTCCATAAATATTTTTTTTTATATTTATTCTCGAATCACTAAAAAAAATTCAATAATTTATTAAAATATATATTGAAATTGAATTACAAAATTTAATTAAATATTTAAAAAATTAATACATATATATTTTATGAATTAACATTCTACCTTAAAAACAAAATTTAAATAAATAATTCGAATAACTTAAACCATCTCGAATTGGGTTAATTTTATTATTTCATAAGGATTGTTTAGGTTAAAAAATTTTTACCACAGGTAAAAAAAAATGTCTCAACCCAGTTAAACCCAACTTACTATTAAAAGTAATTTTATCCCTATTTAAAGTTTACAATTGATTTTTTTTTATGCCATTTAGTGGGAATTTTTGTTTAAAGTATCAAATAATTGTAAATAATTTTTTTTAATTCGCATAATTATTTTATTATAATTAGAATATTAATGACCGTAAATATCATTTTCCATTTCTAGACCCAAAAAACAAAACCACTACGATAACGAATTTGTCAAATACCCCAATATTCCAAAAGGAAATTGCTTCAATTCCGTGCGTTTGAAGGTGTTCGTAGCTCATTTCTTGCTTCTTATTGGTCGTTAATGGCGTTTACTTCTTCTCTACCCTCAAAAGAGGGAAGAAAATTCCTTCGATCCTTTTGCAAAAATCCGCCATTGTTAGGGCTACAACAGTCAAATCCCACCGCTTGTTTCCCAATCCCCAAAACCAGGTTCCGCTTACCGCCAGTTTCCTCTTAATCTTAGGGGCGGCCACCCAACCCCTCCAAGCACATTTCTCTCCCTTTCTTCGCTTTTCTCTTTATTTTATCCACTTTTTTATTCTCCCCCAGAATGAACAGTCATTCTACCGAAGCAATTCCCCTGTTCTTCATGGCCCCTGGTTTCCCCCTTTTTAATCCTCTGTTCTTGTTTCTATATATTATTAATATCTTATCCCACTTCCTCTTACTGTTCTTACGTCCTCATTTTCTTCCTTTTCTTGCCCGGATTTTCTGTTTTTGTACTTGTTCGTCTCTGGTTTCTTTGTTTTGGACGAACCCATTTTCGTTTTTTTGATTCTTCTGCCTTATACACGACGACCCAGATCGCGTTTCTGCATCGTTCGACGTTTTATGTATCTGGGTTTCTGATTTGGGATTGAATCGTTCTGTTTTTGTACTTCTTCGTCTCTGGTTTCTTGTTTAGGACGAACCCCATTTTCGTTTCTCTTAATTTTTTGATTCTTCTGCCTTATACACGACGCCCCAGATCGTGTTTCTGCATCGTTCGGCGTTTTTCGTGTCTGGGTTTCTGATTTGTTCGTCTCTGGTTTCCTGTTTTGGACGAATCCATTTTCGTTTCTCTTAATTTTTTGATTTTTCTGCCTATTACACGACGGCCCAGATCGTGTTTCTGCATCGTTCATCGTTTTTCGTATCTGGGTTTCTGATTTGGGATTGAATCGTTCTGTTTTGTGGCTAATTCTTTGTCGTTGGGGAAGGTTTTTGAGGGGAAACATAGGAGGGTTTTTGTTGTTGTGTTCTAATGACGACGGAAACGAGAGCGGTGGATCGAGGGAGTATTAGAATTGGGCATGTGAATAAGGTTCAGTATGTGAAAAGGGATATTAAGAAGAGGAAATGTAGAAGGATGAAGCGGTCTGTTC